GGGCGGGTTTGGGTGTCTTTGTGTCCGAGGGGTGTGTTTGGCATCAAATGAGGGCTATCATGTTCAAGTGCGGACATGGACAGCTGTGACCGTCTGAAGCACGTTGCCGTCGCTCAGACTGTGCAATCAAAGCTTCTGAGAGTACTGATTGCGAGGGTGAATGGTCTTGACGCCGCAAACCTTAAACAAAGACGCCAGCCATTATAATTATGACGATCGGCCACTAGCGTACTTTGTGACATTCACATAACTGTCAACCAAGTTCAGTGACACGCAGACTTCCCTCCGGTGGTCACCTCGTTTGGATACTGTCGCATTCACTCTGCGCACCGCCACCTCCCCCTTCCGGCTCCCTTCGCCGTCGTAAGAAACGCAGCCTAGATGCCTTCCGGCCGCTGAAAGTGCGGTTTTCCGTGGTTCGATAGAGTTTTTCCTGGTAGTTAGAGCGTTGGGTTATCGGTATAGAAGGAAAATAGGCATCTGCTATCCCTATATATAGAGAGAGAAACAGCTTTTTGTCTTTGGCATAGTCGTCATTTTGAACGAGAAACTGAGTAACTCCACTTAACAACATACTTGGACAGGCGGCATATTCCGCCGTTTACACTGAAGTCCTAGTGACCGGTCTCGTCGTTGTGGTTGTCTCTAAAGGCCAATCGGTCGTGAGTTATGTGTACATACATGCCTTTGTTGATAATGTTTGTCTGTGAATGATATTTGCTAGCCGTTTGAAGGCTGCTGACGGGTCTCGAGAGCGAACTCCAAGACACAACGAGAAGAGTGAGTTCCGTAGCTGATCTGTGAGCGCCTAGCTACCATTATGTACATAACTTAACGTACGCGCAACCTTAAAGCCCACCGTTTTTTGCTCTGCCCAATTGTCGCTATTCTTGAATTGGCCACAGGGCATGTTGGCATCGTTAATGGACGGTGTCATCTAGCTGCAAGGATAAAAATGTATATGTGCGAATAAAAATGGTTGATTGTGAGTGGAAAGAGAAAGTTGAAGACTGGTTTACAGGAGACTATCGTGCTGTTTAAGTAATCCATAACAAGTACTAATAGGACTTTGTGGAGGACCACGGCTAGTAAACAAGGGGTTTTGTAGACGTCAGTGAATCTCACCCTGCGAGTAATATGCATCCTTCTCAAATTTTCATCGGCTAGGGAGACAGACGTGGGCTCATGTTCATCCCGTCGCTGTCAAGTGTATTCAGTCACTGGGGGCGGCATTCTCTGGTGTAACTAGCCGCTCTAGCTTACAGCCATTAGTAATTGCTGCCTAATGGCGAACAGTTCATAATTTAGAAAGAGATTGAACTTTGTGTTCCTGATGTACTTACCGTTATTAGCCCTCTGCACCCAAACCCAGGCCCGTGGAGGAACCCAGACTTCCACTCATAGGAGACTCTAGTCAGAGTTAAAAAACGAGTCGACGTCCCAGTATGCTACGTTTGGGGTTACTAGTGGTCGCACTTGAATGGGATTTACCGGGTTTTGGTGTCATCTTTGTGATATCCAAGAAGTCCTCCTTAGACAGACCTTACGTTCGCGGATCTCAGCTCAAAGGAAAACCGATTCCCTTATGCCTGTATGGTTTACACCTTAACTATTCTAATTGTCGTCCTCGCTTTCCAACGTCCTGTCTGGTTTATATGCAGGTCTTCGGTCTTGATGTCGACAGTCTTCCTACACCCCCGGATTGTCCATCTTGGCTTCTTGACCTTGCTGTTCGATGTTGTAATGTTGAGCATACCTGTCGGCCACTGGTAAAGGAGATTAATCAGATCCTTCGCTACCATCTTGCCAACTGGTGTGGCGGGATGAATTCGTCACAATCCACGCCGAAGACTGCCATCGTCGAGGACCCAACTTTGGAACTTGATGTGAGTGGTTTAAAATACGCAGGTTACTTATGTTTAGTTAGTACGGACCTTATAATCTTTGTTTGGGTTTCCCATGCTAATTACCTGTTGCATTCTTCTTGTCTGTGTATGTTCGGCCACCATAATCGGTGATATCTACCATTTGCTCGAGGACAGTGACGGTGACTGCGGCCAGATATAGCGAAAGTAGATGCGCCGCCATCTACCCCACTCTAAACTCTCATCCGCTTTAACCGGTGACAAGACAAAGTCGACGGGACGGAGCAGGAATCAGGCGTAAGCCGCTTTCTCCAGATGCAGCCAAAAA